GAATTCCCCAGCCAGCATGCTAGCTAGGGAATTCTGGGAGTTGAAGTCCACACATCTTAAACTTGCTGAGGTTGAGAAACACTGCTGTAGAGGATCTTAAGGCACTGCAGGCCATGACTAGCGGTGCTTCTTCAGAGTTTTGGATTATAACTCCTATAACCTCTGACAGCATCCCGTTCTGGTCACAATATGTAGTGCAAGGTGTCTGGAGAGCATTGGGTTGCCTGTCATTCTGGAGAACAAGAGAATGCAAATCAAAAGTAATAGGGTGTGAGGAGATGCAGATTTGAAGGAGAAAATGTGATCTGGAAATGTGACATGGCACCTGTCAGCAACAACTTAAAGCAGCTATGTTTTTTCCTGGATTCACAGCGGGCAAGGCACAGATCCAGCCCTACGTGGTAGCACAATAACAGGCTTGTTGTATTACCTTAGCAGTGGCATGTGCCCGAATTTCAGGACTTCCCGAGATATCCAGAGTGTCATACAGCTGCTCGTAAACCTGTCCAGAGATACAAGAGATGACAGGGGGATTTTTAGCATGGCAAAACTATGCAGAATTCAAGATCCAGATAGGTGCTACAGATAATAAAAGGAAACAGGGGAGACAAAAGAAATCAGAAAATCAGAAATAACTAACAGAAGAGAAACGGAAGAGGTTAACTAAAATCCCAGGAGAGGATCCGATGCAGAACAGCAGAGGAAAAAAGGCTGAAATTGTGGTAGGGGGGTGGACTGAAAGAAGAATCCTACCATGACATGAATTACGCAAACTATGCAATTACCAGAAATTACATGTTGGGAGGTGATGAAGAATTGTGACTGGGGTGCTGGGAAATGAGGGGAGGACCCTCAGCACAACTGCTATGTGTTTTGTAATGTAGCAGTCTACACCCAGACAAATCAGATACATTCTGCCCTTAACATGGGCCCAGTTCATGTGCGATAAGGCGATGGCTAGGTTCCCACAAAATACTGAACCAAAGATTTCCCAACCATCTTTTGGCCCAGCCTAAGCACAGGGTGGAAACCCAGTCAATGCTTGTACTAAATGCATTCTGCAGGACCATCACTCTAACTATAATCTTTACCTCCTGCCCCTAGCCCCCCAAATATTTTTCTATAGGAGTTCACCCCTGAACTGGGAAAAAATGGTTAAAAACAAACAGAGATGTGGAAGAGAGGTGAAGAAAGGAAGGGCAGCTTAAATGGGACAAACTTCTCAGTCTCACCTCCCGTATGGCACAGCAGAATTTGCTCTGTAGCACCCTCTGAAGGGCTTGCAATTTCTGGGGGGGCACCTCCCCACTGCGCTGCAGCCGCTCCAGCAATTCGACCGCCCGAGCCACATCTACAAAAAAGGGAACAGGGGACCGCGCGTCCCAGAGGGCATTTGGGACCGGCCGCAAGGCGAGTGGAGGAAGAGCGTAACCCGCCCGCGGCCTCCGGTTTCGCCGTTCCAGAGACCTGCTTCTCGCTACCTAAGAAAGGGGGAGAGCAGGAAAAACCCCGGCCGGACGACCAGCATCTGCCCTGTTTTCCCGGGAACCGTTCAGCTCTTCTCGACGGGAGCCGTGGCCAGAAAGGGAACCCAGCAGCCACAACCTCCATGTTCTAGCAGGAAGCAACGCACACCCGCGCCTTCCCATCCCTGATCTTCTGCCGTCGAACCGCGCGTCGACTCTTATGTCACCACCCCTCCCTCCAGATACCCCAGAAGTCTCCAGATGCGGCGCGGGGGCTGCTGATTCCAACCGTGCCCGCATCCTCCCC